GTAGAATAAATATTATATTCGTTCCGCATCGTATACATCTAGGTATTCGGAATGGATGTGATTTTCGGAATCAGAATATGCGTTAAACCCTCTGGACAACTTTTCAGCCAGATATGTGATTTTGCCCCTTCTATCGTTTGCCTATCAACCTATATTTCGTAGACTGTGGAAGAGAAGAAAATAGACGGACAAACGAAAGGTAGAAGTGATATTACCTTAAACACCAAAAAATACTCGTTATATTATATTATGTTATATTATACTTTTATATTCTATTTTTGTTTCTTTCCATTATTATTTTATTTTCATTATATTCCTTATAACTGAAGAAATGAAGAAAATCAAAGCAAATACGAAATTTTTGCGCATTACCACTACTGCTCTACTCTTGTCTTTTCAGCTTTCGAAGAAGAAACACGCTATGAGAAACCAGCTAATGGAATCCTTCAAAACCTCTCCAAAAAGAGGTGTTGAGCTTCGAGTGAAACGGTGCATACAGACGGCTGATACAGATAAAGAAGCGAAAATTAAATTTATCTTAAAACTCTATGTATGTATACTCAAAATGAAGGAATGTGCAGCAAAAAATACCGCTGCTCGTGATATTTTAATGACTTTAGTAAACGATCCACTAAGGTAGTGGCCATCACAGCTGATACCAACGGACTGAACACACACTGAAGTTCAAACTTGTCGGTTACCTGAAATGACCATATATATTATTTTAGAAATAATGGAAAACCCTTGGCTACGCATAAATAGCTTACCCATACTAAAACATTATCATGACTACGTCTCAAAAACAAGCATCTCATGTGAGGTTCCTCCCGAATAATATGAGTGATCCTTTCAAACAAGCATCGGACACCATTTCGCTCTTTGCGGGAGATTAGAGGCACCCTTAATAATTGCAGGATGATAGAAGTCTATAAGTCTTCATGAACAACATCAGAAAGACCCAACCAGAGAGAAGAAATGCTTTTTCGTTAATTTGCAGAAACATACAACAGTCAACGATTACAGCGTAAAGTGGGGAGTTTAAGCAAAGATCTGATCAT